TGAAGACCCAATTTAACCTGAAAAGATTAAAAGATTAATATTTTCACACGCACTGGTGGTTCAGTGGTAGAATGCTCGCTTGCCACGCGGGCGACCCGGGTCCGATTCCCGGCCAGTGCACTTTTCTTTTCTTTTTTCTTTGTACTTACATGTCGATTTGTATTCGCCACTTTGCGTCGTGCTCGAATGCTATACATGCTATTGTTGCAAAATTTCCATTCCTTAATGAAGTTTTTGATGAAAACAACATGAATTTCGATAGAAATGAAACAGACTTACCATCTCTAATTCTTTCATCGCTTTAAATACTTCGTTCATAATATCTTGCGGTTTCGATTGAGATCGAATACCTAAATGCCATTTGGCCTTTTTAAGTGAAGCAGCACCTGCGCCGCTGTTGATCCCTGAAGTTGTTGAACTGGACGATTTTCGTCGATTAGTACTACCGTGATTGACGGCTAAGGAATTATTGCCGGAATTCAGTGCATCAAGTGGATCCAATGTTACGGTCAGATCTTTCAATGCTAAATTTTTCAAAGAAAATTTTTATAATGTAAATTGCTGAGATGATAGATTACTCACCAGGCATTTTCTCCGGATGCATACGGACTGGAGGTGATTTCTACGAAAAGAAAAGTGGTCAGAAAAGAAAAATCTGATTGAATGAAAAGATCAAATCCAAAATTATATAAGAAATTCAATGAGGACCATCAATTCTTAGGCAAAAATATACAACCTGTGATGAGTTAACTGCGTCTTGAAACTACAGACAAAGAATATCTCGAATATAGTTCTTAACTATCAATACCATCGAAATAAGATCATGAAAATTGAAACTTACGAATGGTGATGGTGAACGAGCAGATGTTGAGCTAGGCTAGAAGAAATCAGTTGTTTTCTTGTGGAATGTTCATATAATGACGAAATGACTCACTGTCATCGCTAAGAAAGATGAATGAGGTGGACTTGATGCTGCAAAGAAATCGGCGATTTCCACTTTTCGAGCTAAAAAAGAAATAATCAAAATGATTCAATCAAACGAACAATTGAAGAAACAAACCTTCGTTCCAAATTCGTTTGTTATCGATGATTAAATGATAAGCAATTACTAATTGATCATGAGGATCGTTTATAAGTAAAGCATCTTGAACTTCAGTGTCACTAATACCAAATTTCTACAAAAAGAACTTTCTCTTATGTTCTGTTGCGTTATTAATTAACAGAACTCACTTCACAAACTTCTTGTATTGCATCAAGATCGATGATATTCGTTCCTTCTTCACAACTTTTTGGAAATAAATAATCAGGTAGATTTACTTTGAACCATTCGTGCTCTCTGAAAGATTTCAATGGAAAAATAGTCACAATCAATTTCGAATTTAAAAAAATTTACCGAATTTCTTTAATAGTCGCTCGACGGACAGGATCGACAGTGAGCATTCGTTGAAGAAGATCAACTACGGATGGATTTAAATAATCAGGAATGGGAAAAATACCAGCTAGAAAATATATTCATCATTATCGAAATTCTCTATCAGAATCTACATACATCTAATCTTTTTGAATAAGACTTGAACATTATCATCATCGAAAGGTAACTAAATCGAAACAATTCCTACGAACATTTTCAAGTCATTTTATCTTAACTTACAGTTCCTGTTAGTAATGCATAGAGAATAACACCACAACTCCAAATATCGACTTCTTGTCCAGCATAGAGTCTATAGCAAAAGTCGAAGATAGAATTTAAAGCATTCAAACGAAATGTGACACTGACTCTCCAGACACAACTTCAGGAGCGGCATAATTTGGTGACCCACAAGATGTTTTTAATAATTCACCATCTTTCATAATATTTGACAAACCTGAAACGATAATAAACGAATTCTTTTTCAATCAACGAATGAATGTTCAAACCAACCGAAATCAGCAATTTTAACATGTGATGCATCATCAAGCAGAAGATTTTCTGGCCTAAAGAACACAGTAATATCGAGAAAATCAACGATCAGATCGTTTGCCGACTTACTTCAAATCACGATGAACCACCATATGTCGATGGCAGTAGTCAACACCAGATATGATCTGTTGAAAAAATGGTCGAGCTTCTGCTTCCGTAAGCTGAAAAGTTCAAAATGATTTTGATGGAAAAGACAATTCGTGTCGTGTCATACTTTGCCTTTTTTCACAATATAATCAAACAATTCTCCACCAGACACATATTCCATCACCATAAATATATCAGTTGGCGTACTAATCACTTGGTATCTAATAGAACAAATTCATTCGAATAGTGGCGGAAAAGAAAACAAAAATCGATTTCTCTTACAATTTAATAATATGTGGATGCCGAAAAAGTCGCAGATTTTGAATTTCTCGTCGAATTTTTCCTACGACATCCAATTGTTTTATCTTCGTACGATTGACAATTTTAATTGCAACCGTGTGTCTAGTCAATTGATGGTAAGCTTCTGTAAAAATCCCAAGCAATCTACATGACAAACAAAGCCAATCACGAAAATCTTACTTTTGACTTTTCCAAAGCTTCCCGTTCCCAAAGTTTCATTAAGAATATAATGACCGATTCGAATAACACCGACATCCGTCGACGACGAATTCAAATTGTTCGCCGCTTGACTTTCTTTCTTTTTTCGTTTATACTTATCCTATGGAAAACGAAAATCGATAGAAATTGAAGGGAGAAAAGTCAGTTCGTACAATCACAGATGACATGTTTTTATCGACGAATGTATCTAATCTTAAAACAAAATCAATGAGAAACGAGTCGAGAACAAGTGCGCAATTAGAATCTCTATATGAATTGATATGCGCGTTTGTAACGGGCGAGTTATTTCATTTCATGACTCATTTTCATCAATCAACGCATCAATTTTATTCACCAATCAGTTTTTATACATTGTCAGATCATCATACCACCTTTTGTCTATCAGTGACATCTCTATCTTTATATAGGATTTACAATTTATCAACACACATTGACTTTTTCAATATCGACCCGACTGATTCTCGTTTACTAAATGGATCTCATCAATTTCAAGCCGAATACAAACGAGTAATTCGATATCCGTAAGGCAAAATTTTCACACAAAAGACAATATTTGTAGTCAAGATATTCATCGACTCTCTGCAGTTACTTCCGATTGCATCGGAAGGCTTGAAGAATCATTGCTTTATTGAATCCATACACAAAGATTTATAACAATAACATCATACAAAAAAAAATGGGTCAGAGTAGCGACATCTGTCCGAATTACATTGAAAAGTTTTGAAAGAAAAATAATTTTTTTAAAGAAAGTAAACAAATTAATTAGGAAAAATTTCGAATGATCGAACGCGATAAATCCAATGAAACTATGTAAAAACGAGTTAATCTGATTGTTAGAAGTTGTATCCTATTGAAATACATGAAAGTATCTATGACTGACTGATTTTCAATTCACTCTTATGTTTCTTCATTTGCGCGCATGCATACAAGGTTAAAATTAACATAGTATTTTGTCAGCGCCATGCGCTATTATTCCACCCACCGATCTGTTCTTCTCTTATGAGATTCTATCAATGACGAATACCGAAGAATTAATTGTATATTCAAATAGTCGAAACGGACTGGGAATCCGCATCTTAGGTGCTAAACGAGCGACCCAAAAATCAGGTATCTTCATTCGAGAATTACTTGAAAATGGTTTAGCACAAAAAGACGGACGATTAAAGGTCGGTGATCAAATTCTTTCGATCAATGACGAATCGGCAATTGGCATTAGTCGTGAACACGCCGTTAATCTCCTTCGTTCTGCTGCCGCAACAAATCAAGTTCGTTTTCGTGTTAATCATTTCCATCCCCCAACATCCTCAAGTGAATATCAAAAATTGCTGTACGATGATAAATCAACGGATGACGACGATGACAATCATCGTTCTCAAAACATTAATCACAATCGAAATAATAACAATAATCTTAACGATAGTACCACGACGAATGAAGTACGAGAAAAGAAATTCTCTCGGCGACATCATCGACAGCAACGGAGCACTTACAATGTCGCGTATGAAAATAGCAAACGTGAACAACAAGATGAAATGAAACAATTAGATATTTCATCTGATGCTCTACAAGCCTTGTTAAATTCCAGATTTAAATTAATAGATCTAGTTGATCTGTTGAAAAAATTCCATCCGAAATGCTTTCTCAACGATGAAAAGCGAGAATTGCAATTTGTTGAACAGTTATCCGAAGTAAATAGTGGTAAGAAAGTAGATAATCTTGAGGAATTGTAATGAAATGTTCATCTCATTTTAGATGGTCGAATGACATTAAAAGATTTTGAACGTCAATCAAGTGTTCTTCTTGGTGAACGTGTTAATCTTCTTGTTCCATTTTTCTCTTCTTCAACTCATTCATCTAATCGAAATGAAACTGAACTTATTCTCGAACTTCGACGTCAAATCGCTTCATGTCGCGTAACAATCGATGAACTTCAGACAAAAATCTCTACATGCGAGAAATCTCAACGTTTATCCAACGAAGTCGAACTCGAATATGAAGATCTACTCAAATATCTGTACGAGCAACTCCATCAGTTTAAAATCAATGAACTAAATTATCTGAAACACATCCGATCGAATGATCAATTGATTCAAAAGTTATTTAACTATTTATCAATCTATGTTAATCAGCCTCATGACGAGCATGTGCTCACTCAACTGAAATATGAATATGATCAGCAACAGAAATATTACAATGCATCATCAGGAATGAATAATAATAAGTTTAATGAACGCTTTTAATTCCGAATGAGTTCGTTTTGTTTCTTTTTTTAAATTGTTTGTATTTTAAGACAAATGAGATAGGAAAACGAGAGAACAGTTGTGAATAAAATTTGTTTAGCTCACTTCGAACGACTCACATTATCATTTGATAAGATGTTAATGTTATCTCTACTTGCACTTTTCTATTCTGTTTTTGTTTTACACCAGCAGCAATGGTTGTCTTATCGAATATTGTGATTTTTATGAGTTTTATTCAAATTATTCACAGCCTCGATTCATGTCGACAAACATTTGGAAAGCATAAATATGATCTTAATCGTCTGAATCATCTAGCGTTGTCAGGAGATGATGGCGAATTTCGATATGTGTTGACTCCATGTGGACTAGTGCCTACAGACAAATGTGGAAAAAGTGGAACGCCATTCGGAAAGGGAATGATGGCATGCCAGGAAAGAATTGCTACGAGCAGTTTTGAATCAGCGATGGGTTTTCTTGATGGATATGGGAAAACACCGAATCTTGAATTTGTTGAAAATTCACAAGGACCAGGAACAGGAGTTTTAATGACCGTTCGAAATGCGTTATGCAATGGACGAGAACGTCTAGTTAAAATTACATTCGTTTGTGATGAAAGTCAGAAAAATCCAAGCACAATGGTCGTAGTCGAAGGTCCAACTTGCCAGTTTGCTATAACAGTGAAAGCAGCAGATGCGTGTCCTGTTCAAGGTAGAATTTCTGGTGGAATAATTTTTATTATTGTTTTACTAGTTGTTATAATCGTCTATATAATCGGCGGTGTTTCATATAATCGATTCATCAAGAAACAAACAGGCTTAGGAATTTTACCACATCCAGGGTTTTGGCTACTCGTAGTCGGATTATTTATAACTGGGTGTAAATTTTGCGTGAATTTTATTTTGAGTTGTGGTCGAGGAACATCGGCAGCTCCTGGAAGTAAATATGAATCTGTTTGATGTCGAATAAAACCGAATGGCATAATCTTCTTCTTTTTTCTGTCAGAACATTAAAGTGTTTATACTAGCGACCTCTATTGTTTTCTTTATTCTTCAGGAAACTTATTCTATTACAAAAAAAACGCAATTATTAAAGGAATTCTACGAACATTTTCATCAATTAAATTTCGAAAAGATGTTTAATTGAGACGTGCATATGTAGTACTAAAGGCAGATGCCATAGATTGATCAATGCGCATGGCACTTGTGCAACCTGAAATCATTGTTCAACTTTGCATCAATAATCTCGCGTTACATATTCTAGAAACTAACGATGGTCTTACCAACTTTACACTCACATTATGCCAGCAGACATTTGGCAACACCTCAACAGATTATTCAACGAAAACAAGAAATAGAAGCTGAGAAAAAGTAATTCGTCGTTTTTTTCCATTTACTTTCGTTTTGACATTGATCGTTCAGAGCTCAATGGGCTCAAACAGCGAATTATTTTAAGACCCAAACACGTCACAATTCGGTACACAGCCACTGGACAGCGCCCACTTCAGCTGTTTTAAGGTAAACGACTTTTCTGATCTATCATTCAGTTCCTGTCAATGAATTCGGTTTAGTAATGAAGCTCATCGTGGTCAAAAAGAAAAAGAAGAGAAATTAAATCGTCTAGAACAACGTCGTAATCGTCTTGCTGCGATTCTTGAAGAAGAAAAACTTCAATTTCAAGTAAATCAACAGTTCTTCTTAACACTTGTATTGTTTTACTTTTGCAGAGCGAATTGTCGTCAATTCGTCAATCAGCACGTGAATCAGTACCTGATATGAAAATGCGTGCTGAATCTCTTCGTTCAGCTCGCGAAAAAGAACGTCAAACTGTTGCCGAAGAAAAACTTTATGAACATTGGATAGCCAATGATCCTGATTTGCGCTCAATTGAACAGCAAAAATTAGAAAATCTTCAACCAGAATATTGGTCTGAACAATTGAATGAGAGGCGATTGGCACAGAAGGAGGAAGAAGAGGAGAAACAAAGATATCAACAAGAACTACGACAACGATTGGATGAACAAGAAAGATACGAACAAGAAGAGCAAAACGAGAGAAAACGAAGAATCGAAGAATTGAAATACATTTTGCAAGAACAAATGGAAGAACTCAAGGAAAAAGAAGAAGAGGTTTCTATTCTCTGATGACTTAGTCTTTAGAAACTGTTTGTTTAGTCTGAAGTGTTAAAACAAGAAGAAGAACGCCTTCTACGTGAACAGTGGGAATTAGATCAATATGAAGAAGAAAAGAAACAAATGGAAAAACGTTATGTACAACAAGATTATGGGTAAATTTCATTCTTTCCACTCAATTTTGACTTTTCATATTCCATTAAAGTCGACAACTTTTACGTCAACATAAGGCGAAATTACACAAACGAGCAAAAGAAATTCAAGAACAATTGGTTTGCTAGATCTTTCCTACGTTGTTCTCAGTTTGAATTTTGAATTTATGTAGGAATTGGACATGAAAATTCTTTCATCGATTGCTCATGCTGATGAAGAAAGTCGTATTGAACAATCTGAGCAACGTGAACAATTACGACGCGATGCATTACATATGTTGAAACAATTTCAACAACAAATGAAATTAGAAAAAGAAAAAGAGCAAGAACTTGATGCAATGTTTCAGTAAATATTTTCTCTCTTCGTACAAACGATCGGTGCTGATTCGCTTTGTTTGATTAAAGGGAAGAAGCTGCGAAACAATGGGCACGTCGCGAACAAGAATGGGATCGTGAGAGAGAATTACGTGAGAAATTGATGCGCCAAGTGATGGATGAACGACAGGAACAAGTGATGGAAAAATTACAAGCGCTCAAAGAGCAACAACAAGAAACGTATGAAAAACGACAAGCATTGATATCGGAGATGGAACAAGCAAGAAAATATGATTTGGTAGAGAAACAAAAACAAGCGAAAGAGAGAGAAGATAGAAAACAAGATTTACAAAGACAAGTAATGATTTGCAATTGTTGTTCGTCTAAATGAAATCTTGGTTTGTATTGTTTCATTCAGATCTCGATTGTTCAACAAGAACGAGCACAATCTCGATTAGATTTAGAAAAACAAGATGTAATGGAACGTGAAGATAAAAGACAAATGGATGATTTAGTACGAAAACAACGAGCTGTTATTTCTGCAACAACTGTTGAACCTAAAGTAATCGAAAAGTTTTCATTCGTTTTTAATGACATCTAACTTATCTGTTTTAGTTCTATGGTCGTCGTCGAGCTAATTGGAATTAAACTAACTGATTTGTGTTTTGTTTTGTTCATGTATAGAAATCGTCTTTGTTTAACTTCAAGTTAAAATGGATGAAAGATATCCTTGTAGTTCAATAAGTAAAAAAGCAAAGTTATGTAAACGTCTATTATCGCACACAAAAATAAAACTTTTTGGCAGGCAAGAGTAAAAGTGATCTGTTCTCTTCAATGTGTTCTTTTACAATGAGGTTTCATTGAACTCATTAGGATGTATTAGCGACTTATGGATTATATGTTGACACAAGTGAAGGGCTATATGTTGAATTAAACGCGATGTCAATGTACCAATTGTTTTAATTATTGAAAAAATGATGTGTTGTCGTTCATACAATGAGTCTTGTCTTCTATTGGAGTCTACCAAATAAAAGGACGTTTATTCTCATGTCGCTGTAATCCTGGCATGAATAGTGATGTCCATCGATCTAGACATAATCGTTATAAATTAGTGTCTGCCGACATTTTCTATTTTTGATAAAGATACGCAACTGCGTTAGCCTCCGTAAAATGTAGCTAGTGTTGAACCCGTTGCGCGTCGTGCTTTATATTTTCATAATGAGTTTTGTTAAAAATTTTTTAACGATATATTTAGAAAGTGGTGATGAAATTAATTGAGATATAAAAATAAAGTCTTTGCTTTACGATCGGTTTTTTTCTCTTATTTTCATATCAGTTGTGTGAAATGTCAATCAAATTAGATGATGACGTATTTGAATTTGCTTCAAGTCCTTTTCTTCTCTGGAAAAACTAATCGTCTTAAACCCCCTAAATACCGAGAAAAATTATTTTTTCGTTCTTTTGCAAACGAAAGAACAAAATGGCGACTCACTCTGTCTAGCGGATTTAACTGATGAACAATGTGACAGAACGCAAGAAAATGTCTTGTGTCTCTACCTCGTCTTCAGCCTGAAGACAGCAGAATTCTAGAAATTGCGCTCTGAAAAGTGACTTTAATTATGATTAAACTTTGGCATTCCTTAGTGGAGGCGAATTCTTAAAGGAAAGCTGTTAAACTGCTTTGGAATATACATATTTATTGGTTTATCGCGTTACATTTGGTCTAGTTTTCTCTGGTTTAATGTAGGACAGAAATCCGTTTTTACGGGTGTGATGTTGGCATTAATAAAACATTGCTAATAGTGAGAAGCTGATCAAGCCAACTTACCCTTTCTTTTCTCTTATAGACATGTCTGTTGAATCTTGGTTCATTCTGAGCGGTATATTTTACCTTATTTTTAACCTTATTTCAGTTTGTTTTGCTTTCGTTTTCTTTGGTATTATTATTTTGGACAAGACATGTCATACTATTCCAATGTTATTAGTTGCCAATTCGTGTTTACTCAATGGTGTTTTTGCAAGTATCCGGATTGGTGCCAATTCATTTACATTCAGCAATGATATAAACGGAATCGAATATCAGGATTCATTATGTATCTTCCGAGCTTATATTGCTGATGGGATATGCTCTGCACTTATTTTCTCGTTCTTATTGCAAGCAGCTTATCGATATGTTATCGCTATACATCCACATTGGTTATTTTGGCAGATTCCTCGTGTTCAAATTGTATTGATATGCTTGACATGGCTGTTTGGGTTACTCTATCCTTTAGAGTTTCTGCTCCGAGATGAAATTATTTACAATGCTGCCAATCAGATCTGTCAACTATCTATTCAACCATCATTTTCTATTGTTTATATGGTATCTTGTATATATTTAATCCCTATTTCATTGATTGTTTTGATATACCTGGAACTGGTGCGATATGTGAGAAAAATCAGAGAGCGCGTGGTATCTACAAATGTACTTTTGCGAGCACAGAGAGAATTGAAAATGGTTCGACAAATTATTCTTGTCATATCTGCCTTGCTTGTACTTGGCTTACCCTATACAACTTTCATCGTTATGTCATTTGTTACTGAACTTCCAAAATATCACTTTCGAATTGCTCTTGTATTTTTAGATGCATCTTTGGTATTTATTTGTGTTTCTTTGTTTTATTTTAATGATCCATTGAAAATGTCAATTCTGAAGCGGATCGGACGCCGAAGAAATATGGTGACGACGATAATAGTGTTACGAGACGGTGTGATGATGTGATTAACTGTTTAGTTGAATACGATTAATTAGTGAAATAAAATTTGATGTTACGCAGAATAACTCTTGTACGGTGTGCGATAATAGAGTTAATTTAAGCCCAAGTTAATATTTCAAGTATTCAGACATTCTTCCTTTAATCTTCATTCTAGAGAAAATTACTGGGTAATTGAGAAGCTAAATGTATTTTGCAAGGTTTACGTTCAAAAGGTATTCGAGTATTTTCAGGATCTTGGGGGGCTTGAGGCGATGCATGACATTTCCGTATGTATAGACATATCCTGCCATCAGACTTATTGCACCGTATTAGAATGTGTTCCAAACGAAAGGTGCTGTGTAGAAAGTGAATTCGAAATCTTCTGTCGATATAAACGGCTTGTTAAGCGATGCAAACAGAAACCTTTGAAGCATAAGGGTTCACGGAAAGAAAATATCAGCTGTATATTAACTAGGTCGAATGGCAGAGCTTTAGTCACTGATAGGACGGTTGCCGTTACCATGACGTTGACCGTGAGTGAGAATGTCAGATATACATCTGCACTCTCATGTGCCAAGAGTTTTTTCAGTTCTTATAAAATCAATGATGTTCCACAAAGTTGGTCCACAATTCGCGTCGTCAGTAAGTGTTCAACTTGGAATGGTCTGATTTTGCACTATTTCAATTGATACTTCAACTCTTTCCGGTATATCAGTGATGGATCTAGTTAAAAGTGGCGACGCCCAGACATTTGATGATTCCTCAACTTTTGCACAAAGAAACTGTTTCTGCAAAGACAGAATTGATTCGTGTTGTTTAAAATTGAATGTTTTATTTCTAGTGAATTCTACTGTTACAATAATATTGGTCTTCAGGAAGAAAAAAGATAAAATAAATTGTGTTTCATGAATTAATTGGAAAAAAACGCATTCTAAAAAGGTCGAAATTAAAATTATTGAAAAGATAGCGTTAGCTTGCACATCTTTTCTTCGATTTTCTTTCGACATTTTCAGACTAAACTAGGAAAAAGATGGCACAAAAAAAATGAAAAAAAAATCAATGAGTACAAGCAATTTAAAAGAAAGCATATTGTCTGTTGAATTCGAATGAAAAAGGAGAATAGAAGATGAATATTGCGAAGAGAATGTTCTATTCTCTACTCGAAAGTCTACGATGTGAAAGTAACTTTGCCATATTTTTCTCTGTATAACTTCACAGCTTCTTCTCCTTGGCTTCCAGCTGCTTTTCTCAAAACTTCTTCGGTAACATAATTAGTCAGAGCATCAATTCCTGCACTAGAACGAATATCGAGGAATTCGCATCGACCTTTCGTTTCTTTAGCGATTTCTTCAAAATTACTCTTCGCATAGTCAGTCAAATAAAATGTATGGATTGGAATATCTTTGTCTTTTAATTTCTTTAATTCATCTTGATAAAAAGTCGGTTTAGAAAACTTCGTCGTTTTCCAATAATTTTCTCCATAACGCGCTCGTTTCGAAGAAACATCTCCTTGGGAATTTGCTGGTGCATCTCCAATTAAAATCACTTGTGAAATCGATTCTCTCGTCTCACTCTCGTTAACTGCATGCCATAGTCCAATCTCAATCGCTTCGGCTCCCCATCCTCCTTCTGGTCCAATCGTATTCATAAACGCTCTTAACCCACTACCTTTCGTTTCCCAAGGCGAGACTTCTAAAATCTTCTCGGCTTGCGAATTGTAGTTTCTGTAAACGACGAATTGCATCGAAAAAATATCGCTCGGTAATTTTTTCTCCTTTAAAATCTCTGAAGCGCGTTCGAACATCGTACAAACGGTATCTTTTGTCGCGCTTAGAAGATTCGACATCGATCCTGTTGCGTCTATTAACAAAACTGTACGAGAAACATTCGCATAGATATTTGGTCCACGATTTTGTTCAAGTAAAAAGTTCTGAACAATATTCATATCTCCATTGACAATCGCATCAAGAAAGTTTTTCGATTTATTATGATCTGCTTCACATTGATTAATTCCGCATGTTTTTCCTGCGCAATTCGCTTCGTACAGTTTGGTTCGTTCATCATTTAGAGCTTCATAAAGAGTTGAACCTTTTATCTCATTTATTTTCTTATCCCAATCGGAACCGAGAACCCATTCTAAATCATTTTCTAACAAAATCATTCGATATGAACCTCGATCGCCTTGTCGCGCTCCTCTTCCCATAATCTGATATTCTTCCGAAAGTTCTTTCGAAAAAAATGTTTGTAGAACGTGAATTCCTCCATTCGCTAAAACTTGTTGATTTCGACAAATAAAATCTGTTCCTCGTCCAAATGTTCGTGTCAACAATGTCACTTTACCCCTCAGTAGCTGCGCGTTTTACAAAAATTTCTCTATCTTTCGGTGAAACTCCCTCAGTTATAATTTGCACTAGATGTTTCATTGATGCTAAGCGATCACAATTATAAAATTCTAACAGACGTTCTTCGGATTCGAAAAAAACGAGAATAGAACGTTTGGCATTGACCATTGTATCAACTTCTTCTTGAATTCGTGTAAAATATTCGGATTTCTCTACAGCTTCAACATCACTTTTTGGATAATAATTTCGATTACTTTTACCAAAAACCGAGGGCATAAACGTATTTCTAGAAATTCCGTAAACTTCTGAAAGGATATTCTTCTCTGCATTAGCTAGCGTCCTTAAGGTTCCCGAAACTCCTGTGATATAAATGAAATCTTTGGGCATGTGCGCATAGGAAAATGTTCCACAGCTAAGAATAATTCCGACATTTGCTTCTAAACTTTGTCCACTAATAAGACTGTTTTTGTTTTCATGAAAATATGCCCATACTGTGTCATAACCACGAACTACATTTTCAACATACGATTCTCCTTCGATATAAACAATTCGATCGTTCTTAACTGCGTATGTCGATGATTGATATGACTGTAAAGCACAAGTCATACTTTTTATCGCTTCGTCAACAAGAAAAATTCAGTTACTGAATCGCTGCGCACAATCTATGTAAGCTGATGTATTTTTTATACTCCGCAATGGCGGAAGATATCGATTATTCCATAGAGTACTTAGTAGATTTTTAATTGTCGGATCGCGTATCAACACAGATGGTGTATACAATCCTCCGTAGAATTTCTCGCTAAGAAAAACATCAACTTCATCGATTAGCAAAACTTTCGGACGAGTTTGCACTGTTGTATTCGTTTGATCAAGACTGTTTTTATTTTGTAAAATCATATCTCGTACTTTATCTCTCAGATTACATTGTTCATTCAAAAAGTTTTCGCACAGTCGATTAAATGTTCCATATTCAATTCGTTCATCAATGCCTAATGCTTGAAATAGTGATGCAAAGTCATTTTTATATCTTTGACTTAGATATTCACTATAACATGAACATTTCACATCCATTCCGAGCAAAGCAAAAACACACGCAACAATCGCTAAAATCACTGATTTTCCTTCCCCCGTTCCAACTTCAACTAGATTATTGAACAGATCGTCAGAAATATGTTTCCAACCTATTCGAAATCCGAAGACTTTTACGTGCTTTGTAAAACCGATTCCGAAAATACGAAAGAGCGAGATAATTTGCGCAACATGTGGCATCAGAAGATAGCTTTGTGCCGAATCGATTCCTCTCATGTTATTATAATTCTGAGTGTTTTTCAAGGTCCAGACAGCGAAAATTTGTGCTAATATTTGAGGAATTTGATCTTGAATGGAGCGATCCCATTCTACTTTGTTATTTTTTTTAACTATTACTGGAACCGAAGATTTGATATCCGATATTAAAATATTCAAGTTTGGTTCTTTTTGAATTTTGGGATTAAATTCACTCAAATGTTCCGATATTAACCCTTCATAAACATTTCGAAAAAGTGCATAACGTTTTTCTAAAATCTCCTTAGTATCTTTATCTAGATCATCTCCGGTTAATTCTTCCAAGACATACTTCAGGTCGTCTTGTTTTTGCATTTTTTCTCTTCGTTTTCTCCAATCTTCACCACTCAAAACTGAATGTTCAGATATTAACCGTGAACCTATTTCGTCTCTCTCTAAAATCATCGTTAATTGTTCGATTTTCGCCCGTCCTTGAGTCCTTTGAAAATGTTTCAAACATTCATCGATATTCGTATTAATTTTCGTGTCAAACATTGAGAAATTCTCTGCGAAAAATTTTATTTTGATCAAACATTCGGCAACTTTAGCGACATCTTCTTTAGCGTCACGAATTTCTTTAACTAATTAATCAACTTGTCTAAGTATTGATTTTTCAGCTAATTCTAAAGTTTGACGAATTTGAAGATCAGAGTATTGAAGATGCTTTTCAATCGAAAGAAGATGATTGTAATAAAGTCGAAATTGATCTGCATCGGCTGAAGTTGGACTCGTTTGATTCGAAGAAGAAACAAGTTTTTCTTTGATTTTTTCGACTTTCATCTTCAGATCTTTTTCAATTTGTTCAAAAACGAATATCGATGCGAATTTATTCGAAAACTCTTTCTCAATTAATTGAAAAACTTTTAATGTTGCTGAAAGTTTACTGAAAAATTGTTCGCGATCTGCTTCAAATCGTTCGGTTCTATCACTAATCAAATCTTCTTGAAAAACTAACGCGGATAAACGGATCTCTTCTTGAAAACTCTTCATTAACTTATTATGTTCAGGTATTTGTTTCATTTGTATAAGAAACGATTTCATCATTGAATGTTCACATGCACAACAATGAAATTTTTTGAGAACTTGATTTATTGAAGAAGCCGTGTGCAATAACTCCTTAATGACGCTGATATTCATTGCTTTCAAAGCAGTGTTAAAATTGTCGACTAACACTTGCCAATCTGTTGATAATTTATTCAAACTGAGAGACGTGTTTGTGAATGTTTTTTCCGGAATGAAATCGTTGATTTGCGGAGAATAAGAATGAACGAAATCCAAACATAAGATTAGATTTTGTAGAGCTTTATCAACACTTTCAAGTTTATTAAGTGAAAACACGTCCGAAAGTGCTTTGGAATAAAGAAGTATTTTTCCACTAAGCAAATCTGAAACTAACTTCAAATATCTTTCACTAACTGGAATATTCGGTGCATAAAGATGAAATTTCAAAATGATTGGGATATTCTCAAGTCCTAATTGAATCTCTTCCTTTTCAAATGATTGTTGAACTAAATTCCAATAATGGTCTAATTTATTTGAAACTCCTGAATGTAAAATTGTTAACAATTCGTCTTGCTTTCTACTTTCATATATCTCTGCAAATCTATTTAATCTTCGAATCGTGTCATCATTAATTTTCTCACTCTTCAGAAAATTTTCTAATTCACGTTTATATGTTCGATTTTCTTCGATAACTTTATCTTTTAGCTGAGTAACTTCTGTTTTAAAATATGTTTGTAAATCATCTGGAAGAAAGTCTAGTGCATCAAACAGTGGTTTAATCAATTCGACACGTTTTTCAATGGGTTCCTTATCCACATTGTCAATCATTGATTGGAAATTTTGTTTAATTTGAGCGATAATTCGTCGTATAATCTTGTCATATTTTGTTTTAAGACGTTCAGGAGCCTTTTGTAATTTCAAAACGAGATCTTTCGGAGAATGAATTGGATATTGTTGAATGTCTTTGAGATAATCATTTTGTTCCAAGATAAGTTGATCCAAATTATCTAATTTCCCTTTGATTTCCTTTAGTTTTGGATCAATTGATTCCAAATTCAAAAGTTGATCAAATTCACGTCGAATCAGATCAAATTTTTCGATACTTAATTCCACTTCGAAGACATCATTCGAATCCAAGAGCTTTTCGATATTTTCGATCGATTGTGACAAGTTTTTTGATAAACAGTCAGTTAATTTCTTTTCGAATTCGTTCAAATCTGTTTTCGTTTCTTCACCATCAATCAATGTTAACAATTTTGATCTTCGAACAGTACGCAATTTTTCAAAATTCGCAATTATTTTTTCAATTTGACACTGAGTCATCGTTACAAAGTCATCACTAACATTGAGTTTGTTGGCAATTTTCAGTGTGTTTTTCATTAAATCATCCAAAGAACGTTGGAGATCCCGTTTAATCGCACGCATATTTCTTGGATTGGCTGTTTTCTCATCAAAATCATCCATGACATTGTCAATAGCCGCATAATTTTCGTCTTTGATAAATTGCAAAACGTTCTCATAAGTTTGCTTGGATTGTTTCGACGTTTCAATTTGATTAGTTCGATACAAAGCACCGAAACCTTGTGTTAAAAACGTTCCACTACAAAAGTTATCTACTCGACTTAAATGTTGGACAACGATCAACTCCTTATGTAAATCTTCATAACTTCCCGACGTTTTATAATTTTCAATTCGAGTGGAACTTATTTGATATTGTTCTCCAAATTTTCTTCTCCAAGTTTCGACTTTTTTATTTCCTTCAATCGATTCAAACACATTTTTATATTCTCTTAATGCAACTAAATCTTCTAAGCGTGTTTCTAAATTTTCCGAATCACATGAATTATTTTCTAAAATGGATTTGAAGATTCTTTCAATATCCTTCTGAAGACAAATTCCGTATTCAGTGATATATTTTAGTAAAATTCGATGAGTTTCAGACGCCATTTGTTTAAAACAGATATTTCTGATCTTTTCACAGTTTCGTGTATAAACTAAGGCGATATCAGCTGTTGCCGCATTGAAATGATCAAAGTGAAATGTTTGTTGATCACTTTGATGTTGACTGACAATTTTTTTCTTTTCATCGATGGTTTGAGTCAAAATTTGAATATTTGCGACGTTTCTTCTTTGAAGATATTTCGATTGTTCTTCTGTGAGAGTATTGTGTGTAATTATCAATGATTCATATTGAGTTTTAATTGAAAGAAGAGGTTCTAGAAGATTTTTATATTTGTTTTCTGAGTCTTGGATAGTATCTGCTTGAATTGCAAGTCGATTTTCAAAATTGCTTTTCTCTTCTTCTTTGCATTTTGTCAATTTGTCTTCGATATTCGCTTTTCTTTGATTTTGATGTTGGATTTCTTTGTCTCGGTTATTTTCGAGTTCTTTGATTTCCTTTTCCAATTTATTGAAATCGCTGAAATTATTTTGACGTAAAAGAACATTAGCTGGATGTAAATCTACCCAGCCTTGTTCGATTTGTTCAAGTCGAATTAATTCCTGTTTGGCTTCATAAATTCTTTTATCTTGTAATTGAAAGATCTTTTGCATTTGATCAAAGTTCGCTTGAACACTTTCAAGGAAACTTTTTATCATTGAATCTTTTTTATGCTTCAATTCGGGTAGAATTCGATCGAAAATACTGAGAGAATCAAGTTTATCAAAGATTTCCTGCGCAAAGGGAATATTTTCTGGATGTTTCATCGTTAAATCTAATTTCATCAAACGATCTTCTAAATCGTGAAAATATTCAGTTAGTTCATCAGTGATTCGTTTTCTTGCTCGATCATATGACCCTGGACAGGTTCGATTCATCCATTTGGCATTATTCATTCGTGATAATAAACGAGCGATTTTCACATAGTTTGGCGTTCCTTTTTGTGATTCGAGTGAGTTCAATAGATCTTCAACTTCTTGTTGAATTTGATTCATTTGTGAACGAACAAAATTAACTGTTTGATGATAAATTCCCGCTGTTTTCGAATCAATTTCTGGAATCGTTCGAATTGCATCCAAATCACTAATTAAAGTCTCAGTATCTTCAAGCGCGCGATCACCATGATTTTTAAACAATTGATCTATTCGATTATTGATTTCGTTAAAATATTCCACAATTTTCTCAATCAACGAATTATAAATTCCATTAAGATTTTCGCTCTTCTTAAACATTTCATTATAAGTTGAAAGACGATCCTGTAGCGCAGCATTTCTTTTCACTGATCCTAATGTCACAACTGAATTTTTCACAAATTCAAGCTCATTTTCACTTAATCTCGGTTTAGCTAAAACTAACTGACATTTCTCAAGAATATTCTTCAAAGATTCGACAAGCAGCTGAATCGTCTGACGATATTTTTTTTCTACTAAACCATTTAAATGTTTGTTCAAAGTCGGAAGACATTTTGTGATTTGTAAAATCACATTAGCGATTTGATCAAATTGATTTGCTCTGATGAGTTCGTCGGTTGTATTCGTGAGTTTTTGAAATTCTTGTTGAAAATATTCACAAATTTGTTTGTACAATGGCTGAATTTGTTCGAAGGAATTTTTCAAAAGAAAAACATTGTTAAAGAAAATTCCAATGAGATGACTTGATAATTGTTCTTCGAGAAGAACTTTCTTTCGTTCTTGAATTTCATTAATCATGTTTTGTACGAATAATTCTGATGAAAATATTTCTTCGTCGAAATGTTTTTGTAGTTTTTGACATTTTTGAATAAATTCAATCGAATATTTATATTCTTGAATATCTTCATCCTTCATCCCGTCTTGACTTACCAATGAACGATGAAAAGTTTTCGTTCTTTCACTGCAAAAATTTGTTAAGGTTTCTTTAACTGATCGAATCGCATCTTCATACGAATCTCTAATTGTATTTAAATCAATCAAATCTTTCAAACTTTTTAATTTATCTAAACAATATAAAGCAAGATCGATATCTCGATGTTTTAATGCACATTTAATATTCGAATTATCTTGTTGAACTTGATCTGAAATACAAGATTGGGTTTCGGTACTGATAGAAAATCGAAAAACTTCATCAAGATGTTTTATTCCACGTAACTGTCGTAATTTTTTAATCAAAGATTTAGGATCTCCCGAAAGAGGATCGAGAATTTCCGCATCAACTCGTGTTTTATTAATCATATCCTTTAAAACTGCTACGAATGTGCTATCTGATTGTAACAACGGATCTTTATCAACTTTTGATATTTTGATATCAGATAACAAAGCGTTAATGTCCACTGACGATGGATATTTTGTGAATGCATAACAAATAGCGCCTAATCTTTCTTGAATATCTTGAATCATATTAATCAAATGATGCGCGAGTTTCTGAATTCCTTGTCCTCGATCTCCTAGACTTTTGTAACTTGAAAGAGCAAGAATTTTCACAGTTTTACAGTCTTTTAAAGCTTCAATAACTCCAACTCCATTGGCAATATCAACTTCTGGACCCGCTGTATCACCAAAACCTGGTGCATCACATAGAATGATTTCTCCGGATTCATGTGAACCGTAAATATCTCGTAATGGAATGGTTACCGGTGCGATGTATCGTGTTTCTGATCTACTCAACGCGCTATTCGTGACATTTATTAAGTCATGGTTCTTGATCGGCCCATCGATCGTAATATGTTCTAAGAATCTTCCTGGTTCAACTTCAACTTTCGTCTTTTTCATCTTCGAACCACTGAGAAACTGTATTGTCGTGGATTTTCCAGTTCCAGTTTCTCCGACCAATAATATTATATCTTTACCAGCAATTAATTTCGCGGCATCTTTAGCTTTGTCTACAAGTCGCTCAATTTCCCGAACATTTAACGGTCGAATTTGTGATAAAATTTCAGTTAAACAGCGCAATATTAATGGATTATCATGACTTCGTGTATAACGTTGTAAATCTTGTAAATTCTCCTGAATTTTCTTGGAAAAGAGTTCTTGTTTCTCAATCTGCTTCTGTAATTGTTTGAACCTTTCATTGATGAATTTTCGATCGAGTTTAACATGAGCACCTTCAAGATTTTTTTCTTGGAAATATTCCAAAAATTCCACAATAGTTTTTTCTGCGCACGGATACATATCGCGACTATTGAATCTCTGTTTTTCAACACTTTGTTCAGTCGTCGGCGCAGGAATATTTTCAACGTCGGGAGCAACTAGACTCGGTTTTGGCATATCATCTGCCGGTTTTTTCGACGAATTTGATTTCAAATTCGTGATTTCGTCAGCCAATTGATTTAAATCTTCAAGATTTTTTAAATATACTTTTTCTATTTCTACTTCATCAATTCGATCTTCTTCTTCAAATTCACTAATTCGTTGCTTCGAACGTTGAATTTTTTCTATTAAAACTGAAACATTCGGTACTTTCAATTGCGCTAAGCCTTTCGCTAATTTCTCTTCTAATTTGCGCAATTTGGATTCATCTGTTTCTTCCTCTTTCGACTTATTCAAATCATCAGCTAATTTCTGAAGTTTCTTTAATTCAGTTAAACGATTATTTTCATTTTCTGCTTCTTCTAAGTGACCTTCTTCCTGATAATCTTTGATGCGTTGTTCGCATCGATGAATTCTTTCAGGTAAATCTCCGACATTCGAAATTTTATATTTTGACAGCCCGTCGTTTAATTTCTTTTGTAAATCATCATCTCCTTCTGCCTCGTTACTATTCGATTTCAGCTGAGAAATTTCTTCGAAAAGCTTCTGTAATGCCTTACATTTATTTAGATATTGTTTTTCTCTTTCTACATCACCAATTCTGTCTTCTTCTTCGAATTCTTTGATTCGTTCCTCAGATTTCGCAATTTTCTCTGATAATTTCGCTGGATCAGCGATCTTCAAATTCGCTAAATCAGTCGCGAATTGTTGTTCTAACCGATTCAATTTCGATTGCTGATTTTGTCCACTCATCGTTTTTAGATTTTCAATATCTTCCGCGAGTTTCTGTAATCTCTTGAGCTCATTTAAACGCGTCGCTTCGTTTTTTGCTTCATCTGCTCTCTCTTCCTCTTGATATTCTTTAATTCGTGCTTCTGATCGTGCTATTCGTTCTGGCAAAACTTTCACATCAGTTATTTTCAATCTACTAAGGCCATCCGCTAATTGATGTTCGAAATCAGATTCTGAATGATTTGCTTTCATACGTTCGATTTTCTCAGCAATTTCTGCTAATATTTCGCATTCTTTTAAGTAATTTATTTCCTTTCCTGCATCATCCATTCTTTCTGTTTCGCGATATTCTTCAATTCGAGTTTTCATCTTCAGAATTCTGTCTGACAATATGTTTACATCAGATATTTTGAATTTCGTTAATCCACTTTTTAGTCTTTTCTCAAGTTCAGATAAATTCTTTTGATTACCTTCACACGATGTTGTCGAAGCTTCTTCATTCGTAGAAGATAAACTGAAGGTACTTGCTTGAGACGAATGTGATTTTTGCACTGCATTCAATAGATTGGTTACAGTTAACATTCCGCTTCGGGCTTGGTCTTCGTGCTTTGACATCTTCTTCGAACGTAAAACATTTTTTGGAAAGATTTTCATGAATTTATTCTGTAATTCATCTGGAACAGTATCACTACCGACAAGTGGATCAATGAATTTCGATTGTTCTATTTGCCCCGCCGAATTCCACTCGAGCAAAATCCCAGCCCAATGATCAATATTGATTAGATAAGGAATAAGAATGATACGTTGACCACTGTGACATTTATGAGCCTCTAGAAATCTTTCTTCAATTTGGCCATCGGCAGTCTCCAAAGCAGTTTTTAGGACGTGTACAGGAACCGGTAAATTATCGGGAGATTGTCGACGTATTTCATCCAGTTGTGTGGATATTTCATCGTATATATCAGGCTTTTCATGTGATTGGCTTGATCCGAGTAGAAAGGGTTCCATCAGTTGATTGTGTCGCAAGAATATTTGTGATCAGCAACACAGTTGCGAGTGAAAATTGCTGCAGAAGTTCGCTAAAATGAAAACAAAATATTGAAAAGATCTATGCTGGAAGCGTACTAATAAGGGTGACGGTAAGATGTTGAATTTTATGAACGTAGTGCGCGGACTTGAAAACAAATTGATGATGGTAGCTGTTTAGCACTTACCAAGATACCAAACAATTATGCCAGTAAAAGATTTCAGAAGTATAGAAGTGTATAATTGCAACTGTATAGATTATCTAAAACAATGTAAATGAAATTCTACATGGAAAGGTTCAAACGATAGCTTAATCACATATTTCAAGTACAAGAATGCTATACAACATGATTATAATAATGGAGAGAAACCCCATTTATGAATCCATCGAAAGTTTTGCTTTTAGAAACGCATCCAAATGAAAACCCTGGCGTATGACTAAAGTATTGTTCTCTATCATCGTTTTGAAACTAGCACCACTTAAAAGTTAAGTAGCCAGAGAAAATCCACAGGATACCTAGCCTCTCCCCATTTACCAACCATTTCAACGTTAGTTACAAAAAAAAATCAATCTTCTCATATCATAATTTCCAGCTCAATTATCATCTGTCGATATCAACGAGTATAATAACAATACTATCCTATAGAAATTCACTGGATCCTAAAAATATCTTTAGAATTCATTACTATCACCAGATAAAATTTAACAATCTAGAGAACTAAAAAGCCTGAAACATCAAAAATAAAACTTCCTTTCATGGTGGCAACGATGCGCAAACTATCACCAATATAAAAATAATGTTTTACATTTACGTCAACACTACCGCTCAATAGTCTTAACACGACTTAAAACGACGTCTTCCATCAAGATATTTTTCTGTTCGCGGAGTCGACTCTGATCGATACGAAATCAAATTCGAAATGAAAAGGAGCTGTTTCAAAGGACGATAATTCATTATAGGAGAGACATTCTCTCTTCAATCACATTTGGTGACAGATGTCTATACACATATAACAGAAAATTTCATCAATTTTTTTGTCAAATAATTTTTCCATTCGCAAAATTTGCCCAAAACGATGCAGAATCGAATTCTGAATGAAATGCAGCTGTGTCAAGGACGGCAATTCATTCTAGAGAAAGGCATTATCTCCTTAATCACATTTGGTGACAGATGCGTGTACACGTATGAAAAAATGCGATCGTATTTTTCGTCAAACGAATTCCCGTCCTCCGAAACAGCTTCATTCCATCTAGAATGTGATTTTGCATCGTTTTGGGTAGATTCCGTGGAAGAAAAATGTTTTCCATGTCGATTTTAGATTTGCATTTTTCAGCAGAAGCATGGATCATAGGTGTTTTGTCTTCCTGGTGAATTAAGGTTGGAACTGCATTTCATTTCGCGTTTGGATTATGTAGTTTTGTTGTTGATTCCTGATATAGGATGGGGGAAGAAATTTTTGTTAGCATAAGACAAAGATATTATGAGTTTTTCATACGGTTGTTGGTACATGAGGAATGCGGAGTGTAGGATTAAATAATAGTATGAGACATCTTGTTTTATTTATTGAAATGATTTTGGTTACTGAGGAAGTCCTAAGCCAATTTATGGTCGTTTCTTCATTTTCAATTTCTGATTGGTTAATTTTACGCTTTACATTGATTCCCAACATCATCAATCTTAAACCAAAATGGTCACCTCAACGAGCTCCTTCTACTGATATAATACTCATAGAGATTTACTGCACAGATAAAAATGTTCTCATTCGACACCTTGCCCGTCCCTATTCTTTATATTAATTAAAAAATGGTTCTATACTTATTTGATATGATTTAGGGTACAATTCAACTTTTATTTAGGCTCTAAAATCCCAAAATACAGATATTAAAGACGCGACAACTATTTGATTCGAGCGGTTTATCATCATCTATTACTAATTTAATTAATATCAGATCAATCTGCGATATCAATTATTATAAAGATGGAATCAAATAGGATCGCAGTTGTACATGAAAAAGAGAATGCGTTTACGAGACAACATGAAGATATTTCAACGCGAGTTGCAGTATTTAATGAAAGTGAGAAATCAGTCGACTTGCTTGGATTGGAAAATCGCTTAAGAGTTGGCTTAAATTCATGTAAGATCAGAGATATATCTCACTTATCGGAGAGAATAAAGAGAACGGAAATTCGGATACAGCAGTATATCGACGAGACTCGAAATGATGAAGCTGAAAAAGAGATCGAATACCTCAATGAATTAAGGCAGTTAGAAATGCTACGCGATCAAATTGTTTTCCAATCAATTGCATATCTTTCGAAAAATATCGATGCATTAGACACGAAAGAATTAGAAACTCGATTAAAATATGGTTTGGAAAGATGTAAAATTCAAGATATAAATCAAATAGAAGAAAGAATTCAGCGGACAGAGGAACGTATCGAATCGTATCAACATGAAGATCGACTCGATGCAATCGAACAAGAAATGAAATATTTACATAATTTACAATTCACTCAAATCATTCTCAAAGAAATCTTTCGTCGACAATCCGTTGAAAACAATGACGAAGACAAATCCGAACGAATAGAATTAAACGACTTAATTGACGAATTAAATGAAATACCTGAATGTGCAGAGAGAACTCTTATGGAATTATTAAATGAGAAGACAAATCAAACAACATCGAATTCAATTCATTCGAAACTAAATCAATTAGAAAAGCAACTTCAATTTGAGAATTTATTTTCTGAGCAAATCGAAAGGAAATTCCAAGAGATCAATCGAACCATCGATAATCAAGATTGTTCCTTTTCTCTTTACAATTTGAACCAACTTTTCAAACTTATTCGACCATTAAATCTTCGTCAAATTCACCGATATGTCAAACGATTCGAACAAACCGCTGCTTCAGTTCATAGCAAAGAGGTCATTCTCTTAGTCGGTGCGACAGGATGTGGAAAATCCACGACTGCTCAATTTCTGACCGGTGCAAAAATGAAACGAACACAAGTCGAAATTTGTCCAGGAAAATTTCTTGAACATATCACAATCGACGGACCAATAAGAAATCCCGGATTAATCGATGTGAAAAGTAGTCCACTGAGTAAATCTGAAACACGATTTGTAATTCCAATTTCAATTCCTTTGAAAGATATTTTTGGTGTTCATGAAACAAGTGAAATCATTGTTTGCGACGCACCTGGTTTTAGTGACACACAAAGTGGGGAGATTGATATTGCCAATTGTCTCGGAACCATCAAAGTTCTTAAACGATGTAAATCTGTGAAAATCTTCGCTTTATCGAGTTATCGAAGCTTAGGAGATCGAGGTCAAGGTATTCAACAATTAATCGATTTTTTATCCAATATGATTCAAGGAATTGATCATCGTCTCAATTCAATCTTATTCGGATTTACGAAATATCCATTAGATATTGATATTCATGCAATGTTAACTGAAATGATGAAAAATTCAAATCAAAGATTTGTCTCCGTTTTGAATTATATGACTCAGAATGATCCGATCAGAATTGACCCCCTCAATGGAAATCTCAAAGATATTATTGAAAATTTACAAAAACTTCGAGGTATTTCTTATCCGGATGAAGTTCTGCAAATTTCTCTCGCTCAGCAAACTCGAGTGGTCATAAAAAATCAAATCTCTCGATACAAATCGCACATTGGTTATGCATTAAGAACAGAAAATCTCTCACTTTTAACGTTTTATTTCAATCGATTTCAAAGTTTATCGAAATTAATTGGAGAAATGTTCATCGAAGAAGATTTGTTCAAGTTAATCAAAGAAAACCATCAAGACAATTCCAAGAGAATCATCGAGAAGTTGAAACAGTTTTTGAAAATGGATCACAAATTAACCGATAAAGATATCGAACAACTAGAGAAAACATCGATATTTCTTCGACAAATGACAAAGCATTTTCAATTCAATGATTTATTCTCCGAAGGTCTCCATTTACCGTTGAAAGATTACGACTTATCTCATCCAAGAGTCGGAGTTTTTCTCGACAACCTTTCTTTCCTTCAAAGGTGTTTTCCGGAATTGGAAAGTGTTTACCTGAAGTATTGTCGAGATCTCTCCGAAGTATTTCAAGTGAAATTTGGTCAATCGCTTGATGAAACGATTCCCAATCATCAATTGAGTGAAATTCTCGATAAAATTTCTCAATTAATTCCAAGTTTAAATGAACATTTGGACAAACGAGTTGAGAAGAAATATTCGGAAATGGTGGAAACGGTTCTTCAACATTTTCAAAAGATTTCCGATCGATCGAAATCAGTTTTATTTAAAATAAATCTAAATGAAAATGATCTGAAATCAATTGAAAATGATTTATCGGCATTAAAATCTGCAAAAGAGACAAAATTATTCGAAAAACATTTGAACATAAGTTTCAATGACATTTTCAGCGAATTTATGGGAAATTTGCTCAAATTTACCGAAGAAATTCCTTTGAAAGTCAAAGAACACTTAGATAAACACGGTTTCAATTTGATTCAGCACTTAATTGAACAATTTCGATTAATCCGAACATTGTCTGACATTGAAGAACGGACAAATCGAAGTTTCTACGGAATGATCGATTCAATTTGTGTTTTCCTTCGAAAACTACGAGGAGAAATCCAAGAACTTATTCACGAGCTCGATGTTTCTCCCAAATCCAATCAAATCCGCAAACTCACCAATTTATTATCACAACTGAAACAATTCCAATGGATTGATGAATTCTCTCCGAAACTTGTCGAGAAAATTCTCGAAGACATTCAAAAGGAATTTTTCGAACAGATGGAAACCTTGGAATGGAAACTAAAAAAGCTAAATCTCGATTTTCACCACCCGGACAACGTTCGTTTAGCCAATGAAATTCTTCAAAAGCTCTATTCGTTGAAAGATCTTCATCGTTTTCTTCCTCAGCTTAAAATCTGTGAAGAACGAATCAACAACGAATTGTACGAATCAATCAAAGCAATTTTCGACTCAATTCCACAGAAATTCAATTTACAAGAGAGAAAAGTTGACAATCTAAGAGCTGAATTGAACCATTTGAAAGAGTTGCAACAACAATATGAAAGTTTCTGTCCGTCGATTGTTTATTTGAAAGAATTGGGCTATTCGAACATTGATCAAGTGAAAAATGAAATTGAACGAAGTGAAAAAGAATTTGAAAAACAAAATGAAGAATATCTTTGTGAGAAAAATCAATTAGACAAGCAAATTAATGAACTTGAATTAATTATTCAATCGTATGGAAAATCAATTCTTTTCAACGTCTCGAAAAAGATCTTCGGAAAAATTTTTAATAAGCTAACAAATCCATTGCAACAAAACGAAATTTTAAAACAAAATGGATGTTCGGATATTAATCAAGTTAAAGACAAAATGGAAAAGTGTCAAAACGATTTAGAGAAAATTCATCAAAGTCATCTGACAAATGAAAATAATCTCCAGAGAAATTTAACAAATCTTCAGTCCATTCAAAGTCATTATTCAAAACTAATTGAAGAACATCAGGAAGATATTAACAAAGGAAATCTCTTTCTCATTGAAAATTCCTTTGAGAATTATGAAGATTTGTTAAAGAAAATCGAAGAAATTACCAACGATCTTAATGATTTTATTCGATTGAAACAATATTTTTATTTTCACGATGAATTTGATGCATCGGAGATGAATTTCATCTTCATTTATCTTAATCAATTCGACGATTTCATCGATCCATCTATTCGAAAATTAGCGAATGAGATGAATGAAGGTTTGAAAGCTTATCTTCGTGAATATGTGAATTTTGTCGAAAAAGAAATCGAACGACATTTTAATTATTTAATCAAATCAAGAACAAATGAATCTTTGAAAGAAAACTTTCAAAAATATTTATTCGGTTTACTTTCATTGAAGAAATTTGAAATTCTTTTCAAATATTCGAATGGAGAAAAGAAATTGAAATCTTTTCAAAAGAAATTCGTGAATTTTCATCATTCGATTATCAATGAAATTGAAGAAGATAAAATCAATGAGAATTATGAAGATTTCAAAGACAAATTATTTCATCTTCAATCGTTCATTTGTTTAGATGAATTTTTCATCGAATTGAACGAAAATGATCGATTTGAAAAATCTTTTCGAAAATACCAAGAAGATTTTCGTCAAATCTCCAAAGAATTCTATCAATTAGTCTTAGATTCAATTTCCAAACACGATTTTCCTTTGATTAACTCGAAACTTTCATACATGATCGAAGTCTTCGCCAATAAGAGATTTGTTTCGCATCTGAAAACGAACTTGGAAACCAATCTCGAACTTTTGATCAAGAATACGAAACAATTTGCCAATTCGCTTCACGAAAATCTTCAATATAAACAAGAAAATGAAAATCTTTTTCGGAAACTCGTAGCAAATCTTGATCAACTGCGAATTGTTCGTCGACAAACGAACATTTTGAATTTTATTGAAAAACCTCTGAAAATTTCATTGGAAAATTTATCCAATGAAATTGAAGAAATTTTAAGAAAAAAACTTGTAAATCTTCTTCAATCAATTGAGAATTATTTCAAACAAAATGATTTTGTTTTCATCGAAAAAACAATCGAATATGTGAATTATTTCTTAAATCAATTTCAAGATTATTTTTCATTTAAATCAACCGAACATCAAATCAATGAAATGAAGACAAGAATTTCTCAATTACCCAAAGAAATTCTTGAACAATATGATTTTGCCGATTTGAATAAATATCTGAACGATTCACCAAAATATCTTTGTCAACAATTGGAAGTTGTTTCATCGAATGGTTATACAAAATATTCTGATGTTTATCGAAAGATTTTGGAGAAAATTCGAACGAATTTCTTATCGGAAATTAACAATGTCAAAGACAACCGAGTTTTGAATCGATCAAGTAAAATGCAATTGATTAGAGATGCTTATCATTCTTTGCCAGACGATCTGCAAACTTTTTTTCAATCTGATATTGAAGAAATTAATCAACTGATTAGAAAAGAAGTTCGCATATCCGATTTCGATTAGGCTTCTTCGAATTATTTTTACCAAGATTTAATCATCAATTTCTCGATATTATCATCATTTCATTTGAATATACTCAATGTTTCTTATATTGAAAAAGACAAAATATCACACTAATTTTTGATTTCCTTGCAGTTTTTCTTCGTTTTGCAACGATTTTACCCTTATATTTATCCATTTTTAAGTTAAATAAAACGTACATAGGATGTCTTAGTATAGGATTCGAGTTTTTTCAACTGAAAACACATGATTTCCAAGTAGATCTCGACGAGCTCTGTCGATTCCATTCCTCACTTTCCCATTTTGAGTCATGCATCATAAAGAAAAATGATAATTACATGGCAAAGTATTATACAGTCACATATAGCAATGTCAAGCCTTTACTCATTCGATTCAGGCAATAAAATCAACAAGACAAGAACATAATATTTATTTTGGCCTGATTTGTGTATCTCCACAGACACGAGATGACGTCCTATCTGAAATCTAATGCTTAACGTGACAATAAAAGTCTCGATTTGTCAGCCACCTTAATTAATCAAAATATGCATAATTCATATTAATGAATAAAAGTTTGTATTTTTAACAAAACCAATACAGAAGCATCAACCAATTCAACGAAATATGCGCATTAGACGCACGATGTGGACAATCTCTCTCGACTTTTCTTAATCGATATACACGAATTGATGATGCCGAATTTGAGTACAAATACTTTGTAAAGAATTAATTATTTGCCAATGAAATTTTGTTCCTTCGGAAATTGTGATTTCAGAGGTCGATAAGTTGATTACTGTTCCATTCTAGAGATGAATCAAATGGTTGATATATTATGTGAATAAATAGGATGGTGTGAATTCATTCGACCTTTTCAATTGTTATAATGAATAGTTCTTGTTTTCTAATAATGTATTACACATCGATCATGGAATTCAAATATATGAGATAATGATCGATGAATACGAAAAAGTTACTTCAAGTAAAGATTTTCTACCCGTTACTATGGGATAGGGAATTATTCATCTTTAAAAGTCAACTGATTTCCTCCGGATGATTTTAGTCAATGGAAATTGTCTAATGTCAACATATAGAGCAATTATTCCGATTACTATTCAATATACACAATGAAAATTGAATAAATGGAAACAATAAACGAACTTGACATATCATGAATTCGTAAAGCAATATTAATCAGTGATTAACACAGTAAATAAACAAGTTGTTGAAATACCACGGAGAAGTTGAGCGAAGAAAATATGAAAGAACTATTTGTATGTTCGGATAAATAGCCATTAAAAATCATAACAAGTGATAAAGGCGGTACATCTCGACAAAAAAACAATTTCAATTATACATTATAGTGCGAGATCTTGATGTGAATTACAATTTGTTCCTTACAGTTAATGAATGTTAAAACAATAAAATAGAAACTTTATTTTCGAAATACTCTTTACAAGATCGTGTAAAGTTACATGTATTTTCCTAGAAATTGACATAAAAGTTTAATCATCAAATTTACCCGATACATTTGCATCATGCATCAACCGAATAATATCTTTTCGAGTTAAGATACCTTGCAGACGACTAGAATAAAACATATTCGTATTTTCTTCTTATTTTTCCTTTGAAAATTTACCCATTCTTAGTGACAAAGATTTGTCGGCATCCCAATTTCCTAAACATATCGACAACTGCTTCCATTGGTGTTTGATCTGTAACGATAATTGGTGCTCGATCAACTAATTTATGTAACTGTAAGATTTTCGATGCTTGCAAAGCAATGGATGCCCGTCGTCGTCCAAGTGACGCTGCTTGACCAGATTTATTCAACAAATTCGACATTGAAACGACTGACATTTTTCGATTCAACGATCCAGACTTTGGTTTTTCATATTCCAACTGTATCTTTCGTGATTTGAGTACAACTAAAAGATCTCTTCGTTGCACTTGACCGACAATGCAGGGAAAATCTGCACTGATAACAACTGGGTAGACCGAATGAGGTTGATGACGGACTAATGTATCGATCTGAGCAATGGTCATACCATCTTGATAAATACATGCTAAAGGAGGATTCTCGCCGGAACGAGTTGCACGTATTGCTTCACCGGCTTTGAGAGAAAAACGAAAACTTTCGCGATTTTCTAAATTAAAGAACGTTCATGCAAAATTCTTCTTTCTTTCTTTCATTCATTTGTTTTACCTAAGAACGGATAACCACTTAATTTAACGTTTTCTTCATAAATTCCTTCTCCGAATGCATCTCCAACCCATTTTGCTGTTAGAGCTGTAACCATCAATGGAACAATATAAGATAAACCACCTGTTACTTCACTCATAATGACAACAAGAGAAACAGTCATTCGACTGACTCCACCTAGAAAAGCACATGCACCGACGACCGCATAGAGTCCAGGTGTAACACAATGTTCATTTGATACTCCGCATTCACGTCGAAGAAGAGCTAAATTCTGATTTTGAAATGCGATTTGTTCTGTTATAATTCCAATCAGACNTTGATAAACAGTCAGTTAATTTCTTTTCGAATTCGTTCAAATCTGTTTTCGTTTCTTCACCATCAATCAATGTTAACAATTTTGATCTTCGAACAGTACGCAATTTTTCAAAATTCGCAATCATACTTTCAATTTGACACTGAGTCATCGTTTCAAAATCATTACTAACATTGAGAGTGTTGGCAATTTTCAGTGTGCTTTTCATTAAATCATCCATAGAACGTTGGAGATCCCGTTTAATCGCACACATATTTCTTGGATTGGCTGTTTTCTCATCAAACTCATCCATGATATTGTCAATACCCGCATAATTTTTATCTTTGATAAATTGCAAAACGTTCTCATAAGTTTCCTTGGATTGTTTCGACGTTTCAATTTGATTAGTTCGATACAAAGCACCGAAACCTTGTGTTAAAAACTTTCCACTACAAAAGTTATCCACTCGACTTAAATGTTGGACAACGATTAACTCCTTATGTAAATCTTCATAACTTCCCGACGTTTTATAATTTTCAATTCGAGTGAAACTAATTTGATATTGTTCTCCAAATTTTCTTCTCCAATATTCAACTTTTTTATTTCCTTCAATCGATTCAAATACATTTTTATATCCACCTAACGCAACTAACTCGTCTAAGCGTGTTTCTAATTTTTCCGAATCATGTGAATTATTTTCTAAGATGGATTTGAAGATATTTTCAATCTCTTTCTGAAGATAGATTCCGTATTCAATGATATATTTTAGTAAAATTCGATGAGTTTCAGACGCCATTTGTTTAAAACAGATATTTCCGATATTTTCACAGTTGAGGGTATAAACTAAAGCGATATCAGCTGTTGCTGCATCGAAATGAACATCGAAGTGAAATGTTTGTTGATCACTTTGATGTTGACTGACGAATTTTTTCTTTTCATCGATGGTTTGATTCAATGTTTGAAGATTTGCGAAGTTTTTTCTTTGTAGATATTTCAACTGTTCATCTGTGGTCAAATTATGTTCTGTCATCAGTGATTCATAGTGAGTTTTGATTGAAAGAAGAGGTGTTAACAGATTTTGATATTTGTTTTCTAAGTCTTGGATAATATCTACTTGAACTGAAAGTGGTTTCTCAATTTCATTTTTCTCTTCTTCGTTGCATTTTTTTAGTTCGCCTTCGAGATTCGCTTTTCTTTCATTTTGACGTTGGATTTCTTTGTCTCGTTTCTTTTCGAGTTCTTGAATTTCTTCCTTTAATTTGTTCAAATCGTTGAAGTTTTTTTGACGTAGAAAGACATTTGCTGGATGTAAATCTTCACAATCTTGTTTGATTTGTTCAAGTCGAATTAATTCCTGTTTGGCTTCATAGATATTTCTATCTTGTAATTGAAAGATCTTTTGCATTTGATCGAAGTTTTTTTGAACGCTTTCAAGAAAACGTTGAATCATCGAATCCTTGGAATTCTTCAATTCGGGTAGAATTCGATCGAGAATACTGAGAGAATCAAGTTTATCAAAGATTTCCTGCGCGATGGGAATATTTTCTGGATGTTTCATCGTCAAATCTAATTTCATCAAACGATCTTCTAAATCGTGAAAATATTCAGTTAATTCATCAGTGATTCGTTTTCTTGCTCGATCATATGACCCTGGACTGATTCGATTCATCCATTTGGCATTGTTCATTCGCGATAATAAACGAGCGATTTTACGATAGTCTGGTTTCTCTTTTTGTGATTCGAATGAGTTTAATAAATCTTCAACTTCTCGTTGAATTTGATTCATTTGTGAACGAACAAAATCAGCTGTTCGATAATACATTCCCGCAGTTTTCGAGTCAATTTCTGGAATTGTTCGAATAGCATCCAGATCACTAATTAGACTCTCAGCATCTTCAAGCGCGCGATCACCATGATTTTTAAATAATTGATCTATTCGATTATTTATCTCAGTAAAATATTCCACAATTTTCTCAATCAACGAATTATAAATTCCATTAAGATTTTCACTCTTCTTAAACATTTCATTATAAGTCGAAAGACGATCCTGTAGCGCAGCATTTTCTTTCGCTAATCCTAATGTCACAACTGAATTTTTCACAAGTTCAAGTTCATTTTCAATTAATCTCGGTTTAGCTAAAACTAACTGACATTTCTGAAGAATATTTTTCAAAGATTCGACAAGTAGTTGAATTGTCTGACGATATTTCTCTTCTACTAAACCATTTAAATGTTTGTTCAAAGTCGGAAGACATTTTGTGATTTGTAAAACCATATTAGCGATTTGATCAAATTGATTTGCTTTGATGAGTTCGTCTGTTGTATTTGTGAGTTTTTGAAATTGTTCTTGAAAATATTCACAAATTTGTTTGTACAATGGCTGAATTTGTTCGAAGGAATTTTTCAAAAGAAAAACATTGTCAAAGAAAATTCCAATGAGATGACTTAATAGTTGTTCTTCGAGAAGAACTTTCTTTCGTTCTTGAATTTCATTAATCATGTTTTGTACGAATAATTCTGATGAAAATATTTCTTCGTCGAAATGTTTTTGTAGTTTTTGACATTTTTGAATAAATTCAATCGAATATTTATATTCTTGAATATCTTCATCCTTCATCCCGTCTTGACTTACCAATGAACGATGAAAAGTTTTNTTCTTTCGTTCTTGAATTTCATTAATCATGTTTTGTACGAATAATTCTGATGAAAATATTTCTTCGTCGAAATGTTTTTGTAGTTTTTGACATTTTTGAATAAATTCAATCGAATATTTATATTCTTGAATATCTTCAATATTCAATCCATCTTGACTTGTCAATGAACGATGAAAAGTTTTCGTTCTTTCACTGCAAAAATTTGTTAAGGTTTCTTTAACCGATCGAATCGCATCTTCATACGAATCTCTAATTGTACTTAAATCAATTAAATCTTTCAAGTTTTTTAACTTATCTAAATAATGTAAAACGAGATCGATATCTCGATGTTTCAATGCACATTTGATGTTCGAATTATCTTGTTGAACTTGATTCGAAATACAAGATTGAGTTTCGGTACTGATAGAAAATCGAAAAACTTCATCCGGATGTTTTATTCCACGTAACTTTTGTAATTTTTCAATCAAAGATTTAGGATCTCCCGAAAGAGGGTCGATGATTTCCGCATCAACTCGTGTTTTATTAATCATATCCTTTAAAACTGCTATGAATGTGGTATCTGATTGTAACAACGGATCTTTATCAACTTTTGATGTTTTGATATCAGTTAACAAAGCGTTAATGTCCATTGACGATGGATATTTTGTGAATGCATAACAAATAGCGCCTAATCTTTCTTGAATATCTTGAATCATATTAATCAAAAGATGCGCGAGTTTCTGAATTCCTTGTCCTCGATCTCCTAGACTTTTGTAACTTGAAAGAGCAAGAATTTTCACAGTTTTACAACCTTTCAAAGCTTCAATAACTCCAACTCCATTGGCAATATCAACTTCTGCACCAGCTGTATCACCAAAACCTGGTGCATCACATAGAATGATTTCTCCGGATTCATGTGAACCGCAAATATCTCGTAATGGAATGGATACTGGTGCAATGTATCGTGTTTCTGATTTACTCAACGCACTATTTGTGACATTTATTAAGTCATGGTTCTTGATCGGTCCATCAATGGTAATATGTTCTGAGAATCTTCCTGGTTCAACTTCAACTTTCGTCTTTTTCATTTTTGCTCCACTGAGAAATTGAATCGTTGTCGATTTTCCTGTTCCTGTTTCTCCAATTAAAAGAATAATTTCTTTTCCTGCAATGAATTTCGCGGCATCTTTCGCTTTTTTCACAAGTCGTTCAATTTCCGGTACATCTAACGGTCGAATTCTCGATAAAAGTTCTGATGAACAACGTAAAATCGATGGAATATTTTCGCTCGAAAGATAACGATCTAAATCTTGTAAATTCTCCTGAATTTTCTTGAAAAAGAGTTCTTGTCTCTCAATCTGCTTCTGTAATTGTTTGAACCTTTCATTGATGAATTTTCGATCAAGTTTAACATGAGCACCTTCAAGATGTTTTTCTTGGAAATATTCCAAAAATTCCACAACAGTTTTTTCTGCGCACGGATACATATCGTGACTATTGAATCTCTGTTTCTCAACGCTTTGTTCAGTCGTCGGCGTAGGAATATTTTCAACGATGGGAGTAACTGGACTCGGTTTTGGCATATCATCTACCGGTTTTTTCGACGAATTTGATTTCAAATTCGTGATTTCATCAGCCAATTGATTTAAATCTTCAAAATTTTTTAAATATACTTTTTCTATTTCTACTTCATCAATTCGATCTTCTTCTTCAAATTCACTAATTCGTTCCTTCGAACGTTGAATTTTTTCTATTAAAGCTGAAATATTCGGTACTTTCAATTGCGCTAAGCCTTTCGCTAATTTCTCTTCTAATTTGCGAAGTTTAGATTCATCTGTTTCTTCCTCTTTCGACTTGTTCAAGTCATTAGCGAATTTCTGAAGTGTCTTTAGTTCAGCTAGACGATTATTTTCATTTTCTGCTTCTTCTGAGCGACCTTCTTCCTGATAATCTTTGATGCGTTGTTCGCATCGATGAATTCTTTCAGGTAAATCTCCGACATTCGAAATTTTATATTTTGACAGCCCGTCGTTTAATTTCTTTTGTAAATCTTCGCCTCCTTCTAATTCGTTACTATTCAATTTCAGCTGAGAAATTTCTTCAAAAAGCTTCTGTAATCTTTTGTACTCGTTCAGATATTTCTTTTCTCTTTCTACATCACCAATTCTGTCTTCTTCTTCGAATTCTTTGATACGCTGTTCAGATTTCGCAATTTTCTCTGATAATTTCGCTGGATCAGCGATCTTCAAATTCGCTAAATCAGTCGCGAATTGTTGTTCTAATCGATTCAATTTCGANAACAGATAAAAGCAGTGATTAACGTCAAAATGATCACTTCGGCACGTGGATATCTTCCGATTCGACTAGTTTTCTTATATTTTAACCAACGAATATTTGTCTTGATAAATAATGTTCCCCACAAACCTCCCAATGCGCCAAGACCAATAAATGGAATAACTTCAAATGTTGCCCAGGGAACATTATACTCAACAGGAAATTGAATTTCATGCCCGTTTCCATATGGATTTATTATTCGAACGACAAGTGCGCCGACCATACAGCAAAGAAATGTTCGCCAAAGAGTTTTGTATGGAAAATAGTAACTAATCTCTTCTAAACTAAATAGAATACCACCGATAGGTGCACCGAAAGCAACTGAAACACCAGTAGCTGCAGCTGCTGATAGAATTTCACGTTTTCGTGCTTCGTTATTGCCATATTTTGGGAAAAGTTCTAAAATTCAAGTAGTCAAAAGCATAAACAAATATTTGATTTTTCATGTTGAAAAATTACTTGAAAAGATATTTCCACAACAACAAGAAATATGTACAAATGGACCTTCTTTACCAACAATAAGACCAGCACTTGTCGCAAAAATCATTCCGATACTTTTTATGAAAAAAGTCCATTTACCCAAATAACCATACATAATAAAACCCGACAGAATTGTTTTAATCTCCGGTATACCTTTGAAATATAATCAACATGAATTGTATCTGTCATTCTCCACAAATTTCCTTACCTGATCCACTTGCATACGGAGCAGAACCAACAACAAGTATAACAATAAAAGTAGAATATATTACAGACCAAAATATAAACATAAAATAACGAAAAAACCAAGCAGTAACTGCCGTTTCTGTAAAACCAAATATATGTGACCATGATTTCCACTAAAATTTATTCTCATCGATCTCTCACATTCATTGTTCATCACTCACATTATCACATATTTCGTTATGAACATCATCGAATTCGACTTTTGACGAAGCCCAACAGCATTGTTCTCGGTTGAGCCAGAATGCTGGTGTACAAACACCGGATCTCCAATGGCTCATCCATTTAGCACCAATATCTACGAAACCAGCGACAAAACCTATTCCCAAAGAAGAAGAACGAAATGCTGAGCTTCCATTGATCAATTTACCGGCTAATATGCCAACTAAAAGAACACATATCCATCCACTCCATGTATCGAACAAAAATGTGAATCGTTGTCTCCAACTTTTTCTTCGTTGCGAGCGTAAATTTCGATGACGAATACGACTACGCATTAAATCTTTTAACCAATCAATAGTTTGGAAGTTTTCATAATGTTTATGAACAACATAAGCAACGTCAGTGACTAAACGAATATTGTTGACACAACATTAAAGAAAATAAATTCATCATCTTACCTAAACCACCATGTCCTTGTACACGAAGTGAACTTGTCACATCATGATTATGATCGAACATAGTCACAGTAGTTGTACTATCATATGCACCACCTGTAAGATCCACTTCTTCTCCACTATCATCCTGATCAGTTTCAGGATAATTTCGACGATTGATACTCTCAATTTCATCATCTTCAACACTTGGAACAGGTGAAAGATTAAATCTCGCATGTGCATCAGTTGATGGAACACCTTCAAAGTAAAATCAAATAATTCTCAACATAGTATCACATAAAACAATGTTTTTATCATACGAATCAATTTTCTTTCATTTCCACTCCCAGCACCACTTGAAGATGCCATAGTTCTGATAAGAGAAGATCTGAAAGACGCTCGAAGGATTTGGGAAAAAACACCCGAGTAACCAGATACTGTCAATCAATAAGACTAAAACAATAAGAAAAAGCAACGTACTATGTAACTGAGCGGATTATTAAACAGGTGCTACTGACAATCTATATTTTATTAGAATACGAACTATGACGATTTCTTCGTTTCTTTTTTTCTTCTCCTCCTCTCGCATTCTTACGCATCGTCATTGCGATATTGTTCTTCGTTTCAAGGTAAAAAATCCGACTCGATACGCAAGTCTTCGTCATACTGCAAAACAATCAAAAAAAGAAAAGAAAGACTTTTTTATTAATACTCATAAAAGTTTCCTGTTTATTAATTACGTTAATAAAAGATTATTCTTGAAAGTTAATCATCAGAAGATTTCTTTGGATTGATATTATCTTGTCACGAACTTTGCTCAAGTGCACAATCATCAAACAATTTTTCGTATGTCCAATAAATCACTTCGACATCTCTCTATCGTCAAAACTAATGACTCTCCGGCAGAAAATTGATTTGAGAGATATGATCTAATAGCAGTTTCGTTTATTCATTTATCTTTAACCTTAAAACAAATAATGTACGTGATTTTCTTTTCTTTTTTTACTTATACATACTGTGCGGTTAATGAAGGATGGCACATATGACGTGTTATCATCTTAAAAGAGAGAAAAATTGTGTTCTACCAGACGAAAATATCAATCGAAAAAGTAAGCATTTACACATGACAAGAAAAGACAATAAGTCGAATATTCATGAGAAAGTTTTCACCTGTGAGAACCTTCTGACGTATATGATTCTGCACGGAATGTTCTTTCTCACAATTACGATTATCGATATTTGTCTGAAATTCTTAACGAATGATAAGATGAATATGTTTTAACTGTTAAATACATATTCATCAAGAGAAGAACAGAAATTAAACGTTGATATACTGTGGATAGTTGGTTTGATTTATTCGGAATATGTTGTTGAATACTAATGAATATTTAAATGAGTCGATTTGTAATGATCCATTGAAAACGCCATCTGCAACAATATTTGATCGTACATCTTGTCATCAAAGTAGAACAAGAACCGAATAAAGTTAATTAATCATTCCTTACTTAGAAGAAAATTGTTGTAGAGATGTTTGATTATCTATTAGTTAAATAAAACAAACCGATCGTTTGCTCGAAGAACAAATCAATCAATTTCTACGTTTTTTCACGAAAGAAAACGAATCGATTTGTAAGACGAAGAGAGAGAGTCTGACTTACACGAAGGTCAACTTAATACTAATTTAAATAAATGATCGATAAAGGACATTTTCGGTGTTTGTCTTCGAAAAAAAAGCATCACGATCGTCTTCCGGCTCTCGCTTATCCAATACATAAGAAGAAAAAGAAGAGAAATGCACTTACTGTTTAAGGATCTTCTTGTTGTAATTTCGGTATCGTCTCGATGAAATAATAGATCACTGAAGGTTACAATACATATCTCACTTGTTATTTGTTGATTATCGTGACGAGCATTCGAGAAATCAAATGTCAAACATATGGGATACAATGCATTCTATAAGCAATATATATATACGTATCATATTAACAAAAAAAAGTTTTCTCCCTCGACAAAGCTTGTTTTTCTACATTTATGACTCGGAGAAAAAGAAATCTACTTCCATCTCTCTTAATAAATCTTCATTTAACAGATTTCGCATCTCTATACTTCTGTTTACAGTTCGAGTTATAAATAACTCGTTTGGACCTGTTGTATAAAATCTTCAATTATCAATTTGTTTATCTGCTAATGGCGAAGAATATTATCAATCACTTTCAGCAACTTTCACCAATAAATACTTATGTGATAATTTTCTCATATATACAAGGCATTTGTGCAATATGACTTCCATTTCTCATTATTTTCTAACTAAACATTCTACCAAAATCAGATTTCTCATTGTGTCTCGATATGAGTCAAGCTATTCGACGTGTCGTGCTCAAAAGAATATGTCAATACGAATAACACGCATGAAGAGAAACAAAATGAACAAGCTTGAGAATACTTTTCTCTCCCAGATGATCCATTTCATTGCAATCTTGCGTGTGAAACTTTCTCTCTGACTGTCACACGTCCAAGTCTAGACTGACAAAAATGTTTGTTGGAAAACAAAAATTGTTTCGAAGAGAAAATTCTTCATATATGATTACAAATTCGTTATTCTTTCTTCTTAAGATAAAACCTAAAACGACATGTCTGATCTCTAACTCGATAATGATACATACATGTCTTCATATATACAGTTGATATTAACAGAGCGCACATTGCTTTTACCAGGAATTGTGAGTAGCTTTGTAGAACTTTTATTTATACGGAGAAAAAAGCGTGCGGATGAATGCGTACATATTTAATACATCTTGAAAATGTCTCTTCGTTCGATAAGAAATCTTGTTTGTCGTTAAAGAACATTCAATTACCAAAAATAAAGTTATGTATCAATTGCGTTCTATCCAATATTATTCAATTACAGATTTAGTGTTTCTAATAGTAAGAATATCTGGAAGCAGATCGTTAAATGTTTTTTATCAACCGATAAAAGCGAGAAAAATCATGTTACGCTTCCTTGCTTTGTATATTCTGATAAAATCCATGTTGATAGGAGAAAAAAAAACTTCAAAAGCATATTTGTAAAGGTTAAAGAAACAGAAGCTGAAGGAGAAGAAAGAATATCAATGTAGTCAGTAACTCTCTCATGTACTCAATAGTTTTTATCTTAATAAAGATCGTATTTCATAATATACATACAAATTAGTCTAAGCTGATCATATACAGTGTATTAACGCATGACCATGAAATGCTTTTTGTTCAAATTAAGATATGAATGACAGAATTGTGTTACATCGACTATGATATCTCTTTTCTGATAAGATCCAAGATCATACATGGATCTTTTCATTGATGAAAACCACATATTTTCCATGCTTATGTATGTGGTATGATAATCGATCGTTTCCGAGTTGTAATTAGCAATCAAGACAATGTTAGAAAGTCAATTATACAAATCACTCAGGTGTAATCTAACAAACAGCTGACGAAAGAATGAAAATAAATCAATAGTACAGTATTTCTACACTATCCACTAGATCCTTTGTATACTTTGATAAAACAAAAGTATTCTGTATATAAATAAACATCATTTGTGCTTTTCGAATATATTTCAATCATATATATTTCTACTAAAAGTATTGAAGGCCAATGATATTTCACATTGTTCTATGATCGACATCGTTTGATGCTTTAGTTGAGTTTGTTGCTGCTAGGGTATTTGCTGCTTGTGTATTTTCCTGCACTTCCACTATCACGACTTGCGCGATCAGTTCCAACTGATGAATGAGATGCATCTGAAAAACATTCGAATAATATTTGTGTATAAGAGAAAACAAAATTTTACTAGCTGGTGCAGACATTTGTCTTCTTTTGATCTCTTGTTGAATGCGTTCGGTAATTTTGTCTAAAGTTTCAACAGGATAGTCAACTTCTCGTTGAATTTGACGAATCGGTCTTGTTGAAACATGTCGTAGATGACGTTCGGTATTATCTTCATCATAGTTCAAATTTAAACTTGCTATGTAACTATCCGATTGTTCGCGTGTATACTCAGTGTTCTATGTAAGTTTTTCCAATCACATAATTGTACTAATCAGAAGAGAGAACACTTACTTTTACACGTAAAATAGCATCTTTTTCTAAACGGCGGACTCGTCGCGAAGCTCCTGGCATGATTGGAGAGTTGCGCGTGATGTAAAACTTGTGTTTTGCTGCTTCTTTTTGCGTATCAGAATAAATGACGAAGGAAAATGATAGATTTCCTTTTTCTTCGTCCTAACTGAATACAATTATCGTCGCCAAATCCATTAGAACTCAGACGACGTCAGAGGAAAATATCTTATCATAAAGAAAGAAAAAAAGAACATATGTACGAGTTTTTTTCTCTTGATTCTATCGTTCTGTATACTCCGATATTCGTATAATAGAAATAACAAAACATTAATATAAGATACCGTTGGATACAGAACAGCAATATGCATCCAATAGGTCATTGTATATCTCACTAAGGAAACGGAATACATTGAGGATTGTAAAACCTCTAAAGTTATTTGCGGTAGTTTTTTGTTTCTCTCGATTGACAAAACGGAAAAAATAAGATATATTATTTGTAGATATTATCGAGCGTAAGATAGAAAAAAAACAGAATAACATCTATTAAAAGCCGCAAATTCGAATGATAGTAGAGAGGAGAATTTCTTCGGACTATGTGACTTTCCATTTAAATGATTAATTAGTCGAATAACAATACATGACGAGTTGATGGTTATTGTTTATTTCAAAAAATATGTTTTGTTTCGCCTGAGGTGTTGTAGCACTAGTAGCGAAAGTTACTGATGAATATTTGTTTTACTTATAAAACAGGAAAAAGATTCCAAATCATTGACGATTTGTGTCATTGAATAAGGATGTTTCATTTAGATTTGGTACCAACTGTTGAATGTGAAAGATAGGAGGTAACAAAATCATCGACGAAAAGAGAATTATGATGATACCAATTATTTTCATACCGAATCCAACTTTAATTAAATCGATCATTCTTACGCTACCACTTGAAAATATCATTGCATTAGGTGGAGTAGCTAAAAATGAAGAAGGTCATAGCCAAAAATTCCTATGTATGAAAGGCGTACCGATTGGTAACATAAAAGAAAGAGAAACCGCCATGCAAGATGGTAAAATAAGACGTGCTGCATGGATATTCGCTGTATTTGCCTATTCAATAAAATCAAGATGTTCAAAAGTATGTGAACAGAAGCGTAACTTACGACACTATCGAGTATCGGAAATAAAATACTCGCACATGTGAGATTACTTGTAAATTCAGTAAATATTGCACTTATTAAAATTGTCACAAAGATCACAGTTATATCAGATGCTCCGAC